GTACAGACGGATAGGTGGGTAGGCGGATAGGTCGGGCGCGCATTCATTGGCGTGGAGTTAGTGGCGGGGTAATGAATGAATGATTACTTGTGTTGGGCTCTGTTGCTCTCTCTCTCTTTCTGTGTCTCGCTCTTTGTTGTGGGCGGGTGTTTGTTGTGTGTCGTTTCTGGTGTCGATCGTTCTTTTTGGATGGGACTAGGGATGGGAGGCTTGTGTGGTGTGGTTAGAGAATGGAAGAGGGATGTTTAGTGTTTGGTGGAAGGTGCTGCTCGCCTTGTCTGTTTGAGTGACTGGCTGAGTAGAACGGTCGTGCTTGCTGTGATTTGTGCTTTAGAAGTGTTGCTCTGTTTGTCTGGTTCCTTGCCGTGCTGCTGCTATGCTTCATATGCTATATATTCCACCCCTCTCCTCTACGCCAGCTTCTTCCACCCCGCTCCAATCGCTGCAATGTGAAAAGGAGTAGTGGGTGTTTTTAATTTGCCTCGCCCATATCTGGCCTCTATTGGTGGGCGCAACCTTGCAGACTAGTGGTTTTATGGACGTTGTCTTTTGGTTGACTGGTTTGTTTGTTTGTTGGCTGGTTAGAATTGTGGTATTGTCTATCGCTATCGTGATGTAGAGACGAAGGTGTACGTCACTGGAGGATAGTGCTGGTGTGCTGTGTTGCTGTGGGGTGGTGGAGAAACTGACTGCTGGGAGTATGTGGGCGTTGTGGTTGTTGTGATGCAGGATTAGAAGGGAATACGGTGGGTGTTTCTACGTCGTACCCCAGCTTGAGCCCGCTATGGTGTACTTCTGACAGATTTAGGCCGTTTAGACTTGTCGTTGCCTCGTACCGCTTGGCTAGGGTTTTAACTACTGGGTTAGTCGGGGGGTTTTAGTGATGTTTTTGTGCTGTGATCGTGGAGGGTTTTGAGAGCTGCAGATTCTCGTCATGATGCACTGATTAGGAGTTTTCACTGGAATGTATCTTTCTACGCAAAGGCAGAGACCTTTTCTTTGGAAATCGCAGTACGGAACATATATAGTTATACCCTAAAATTAGATTGCTCCACGAACCTTTCTCGTAGGAGAGAATGCAGTTGTGGTTTTATTACTCCAAGCTTGTATTATATAAGACAAGAAATAGGAGTCAGAGAATTCCGTGTATAGACGGGCTGGCTGCCTACGGTAGCTATATAAGTCGATAGGTATATTGTAGACAAGATCAGGGATAGCAAGTTCCTCCCGACGACTGAAGGTGATCCAGCCTACTATCATCCAAGTAAATTGCAAGTGATACCACTATCACTCCGAAACACTACCAAAAAATCTTTGAAACGGAGTCGCATCTGATACTAATTATTTAGGCACAGCTTTCTAGGCTCTACGTCTGGGCGGCATAAGCACATATCTTCGCTATCAAAGCATAGAGAAGATAATCTTCATTACTGGAAAACAGTGATCCTTAGTATCGTTACAAGGGAGTATGGAAAGCTGCCAGAGAAGTATCTAGCATTCTAGACACCTTGGAATTAGATAGCAGCAGCTTTTAGCAATTGTTAGGCTGGACCCCAATGCGACGGAAACTTCTTTGACGTCTGCTTACAGCTGAAAATTGCGTTGAGGTTTAGTTCCATGTTGCGTTAGGAGGGGGGTCCCTTATATATATTTTTCAAGGAAAGATCCCTCTTATTATTCCGAGATCTTATCATGTATGATGATAGCGGCGACTTGGGAGAAAGACAAGCCAGTATATAAGCGGACTAATTACGTTAATCGTCTACTCCGAAATGCTCCTTCACTATCGCCTTACTGCGTCTCCAGCTATCACTGTTCGCATGCCAGCTTTTACACAGCCAATCCCCGTATCACTGAACAACAGTGGCATCCCCTGTCGCCGTGAAACGGTACAGAAGCTTCAGAAACCAGTGAAAGGGTATGCTGGTCAAGATGACACGGTGGTTCATGCTGTTGAAACATTGCTCTGGCTGTAGCTTGCTGTTGTGCGAACTCGCTGTAACACTATTTACGGAGACGACGAACCTATAGATGTCCCAGCGCACACACCGGTGATCCTTCATTGCTGGCACCCATGTGCGTGTCTATATAAGAAAGCCAATTCTATAGGCACGTTAACTCAGTATCCAAACAATAAGTAGTATCTGGAGACAGGGCAGAGCAGAAGCGGAATAGCAGTGGCATAAGCAGTTAATTTATCCACAGTCGTAGTCGCCAGCATAGCAAGTATAGCACAGCACAGCACAGCACAGCGCACTGACACAGACGTAAAGCCATTGTCACGGTAGTCCACTGTCTCAATCCAGTTCAATACGTTTCAACGGATATACCTGACGCCCCTACCTATCGAATCCCGGGCCCGCACGCCCACGCCCGTACCTTGTCCGCAGCAGTACGTCACCACCCATCGCCCAGCGATATAGGTAGTAGTATCATCCCTATCGAGCAGCAGCAGTAGTTAAGTAGTATAGCGGCCCAAACGCAGCTGATGTGACCAAACAAAAAAAGTTGCAGAAGGAAAGGGTGAGAAAGTGAGAGAGAACACCGTAAAACGCCATGCTAGCAAGTTCTCTGTACCTGCCGCTAGCCAGCACGCCCTTGCCCGTTGTTGCTCGTGCCGTCAAAGAGAAAGAATAAAAGCAAAGAAAAGCCATTCGGAAAATTAAAAAA